CAGCCCAGAGGCTGGCTCTGTGCCCCACTTCACCACCTGGTACCAAACAGACTCCACTCAGAAACAGGGTCCTGGAGCAGAAAGAAATGTTTGTGTTTGTGTCTGACTACCCGCCCTTTGTGCGCTGTTTCTCGCATCTCTTTCATGGGTAGATAGCAAATATTAGTTTAATCTGCAACGAAGATTACTTCTGGAGCAGTAATCACAAGTGTGAATTTGGGAGAGCTTTCACGTGTGTGCAGCCTTCGCGTTTATCTGGGAGAAGGTCACATCAAAAATGAGCATGTTACATTTGAACTGGAAGGTAGGGAGAATTATCTGGCCCAAAAGATCCAGTGTCTGATCACTTTCATATTTTTAATATAAATATCCTCAGGCTATTTCCTTGAGGCAGGGAAATACCGTTATTCCCATTTTGAGTGAAAGAAGAGGGGGGTTGAGTGACTTGCCTAAAATGATACAGGGAGCGTGTGGTGGAAAGAAGTACTGAATCCTTGGCCAACACCAAGCCGTCTTTCTGAGCTTTTAGAGACAACAGCTATATCCAGCCCCCTTTATTTATTTCTCTAGAAGCCATCATGCCAAAACCTCTGCTAAATTAGAGAGTGAGGCTGAAGGAAAGCTTTCAGTGGATTGCTTTTTTCCATAAATGGAAATATCACAAATCACTCTGGGAAAACAGGTCTTTCTGTTCTCGTCCCTCTTTGTCTGCTTCTCTCCTTTTGGACGTCTTTTCCTCTGCCTCTGGCTCCCAGTTTTCAGATGTACAGTCCTGACCATTTAAAAGTGTTCCTACCCTGCAAGGAAGGGAGTAGCTTTTCATTCTTTGGAACTTACTATTTTGCGATGGATTGCACTCTGCAGGCAAGCGAGACTTCTGAAAGAGACAGGGCTGCACAAAGCAGCACAAAAATAAACCGTATCACCAACAATACCGAGCCAGGTTCTCATCAGGGGTAACTTGGTCTGACTCTCACTGCAGCAGAGCAGACAGCTGCCAGCTGTCCTGGATAGACAGCATGTACCCAAACGATGACCCGGCCGCATTGGAGGAGGTCTCTTTGAGGGCTGAACGCACAGTTAACGTTGGTTTTCATGCATCTTAGACATTCAGTCCTTCTTGGCAGTATGGCAGGTTGTCTCTGTTCTTAATGCCCCAGCTGGGCAACTTTTGTCCCAGTCCAGGCACTGGGGAGTGCCTCTTGCACCAGTCCTAGCTCCTCCAGGCTGCATTTTCCAAAGCTTGGGCAGGCAACAAGCAAACGGTGGGGATCTCCTCTAAGGACTCCCAGCAATATCCAGGGAATGTGGGGACTGCTCTGTGATTTTCCATGGACCTGGGCAGACCCAGCCTTTCTGTCCTGAGACAAGTCAGATCTCCTCCCTGCCTCCTTTGCAGCCTGCACATCCCAAAGCAGGCTGCTTGAAAGATGCCCACACCAATATGCCAGGGAGAGGGAGGTGGCTGCGATGAACGAGAGAGACTGAGAAACAGGAGACAGATCTGGTGGGTGAGCACGAGAAAGAGGATGAGGGGAGAGCCCAAACTGCGCTGGGAGATCTGCAGGGAGGAGGTGGAAGCGTGTGGCTTAAGTTTCTCAGAGATGTGTGCGCAGGAGAAGCCAGAGAGCTCAACACCTGCCTGTTTCAGGGTTCGCAGCATGAAATGGCTCAAGTCGGGAAGAATGAGAAGGGCAAAGGGACACAAGTACAGAGGAGACATTGCTCTTACTTCTTTGAGGGGCTCTCAGACCCTACACGCCCTCCCAAATAATCATTTGCTCTTGCTCAGGCATTCAGGAGTATCAACTACAGGGTGGCGCATGGCTCTTCCCTCCCTAGCTCTGCAAACCGCACGTGCAGCACGGGAAAAGGCTGTTGTGTCAGACCTCGGCAGTGCTGCCGAGCTGCTCCATCCCCCTCCCCGCGTGTGGCCGCGGCACTTCCACCAGCACAGGTGCCAAGGAGGCTGCTGCACCATCTCAGCAGGCCACAGATGTCCGTCAGAGAATTGCTGAGTGACCTTGGCACAAGAAGTGACATCGAGGCCTTCCCTGCACCGAGCGGATTTCTGAACCGCCACCACCCGTCACTCACCTACTCCGTGTGCTTGCACAGCCGCTGGCACCAGCGCACCCACACCATGCCCTCTTTAACACGTCCCCGTACGGCACGAGGCAGAGGAGTGCTGTCACCCCCATTTTACAGGGTGGGACTTTAAGGCAGAGAGCAGTTGTTTTAACAGCATGCCTGTGGCACAGCAAAAACTGAATCTTGTTCTCTTTATTCCCAATTAGCGCATTAATGACCTAAATTCTGCATCCTTTCCCCATCTATTGCCCAGAGGAGCTAGGAGGCATTGGAGGAGAGGGTGTAGTAGCACAGGCGAATAGTCAGCACCCAGAGTCACAGCACTCTGTGCTGAGCACAGGCAAAGCAGGGGCTAAAGTGGGACCAGTGCTGCCCACCCTGCCCTCACGAACCCTGGCAGGGTTGAGCCAGGGAGGGGGATCAGCCTGGCGCAGCATATCAGCCTGCGGTGAAGGGCAGCTCCTCAATGCCATGGCATTTTAAGCAAGCCAAGGCTGGACACCCCAATGGCCAAGCACCCTGCTGAGCCAGACCAGCAAGGCCTTTTGGACACTCAGCACCAGGAGGAGATTTTCAAAGAGCCTGCATGTCCCCTCCCCCTGCCTAACCTCTAACTAGCTATCCCACACAAGTCCATATAAAAGACACCTTGCACAAGATGCAGCATCTTTCCTAAGCAGCTTGATTCTTCACATAGGAATTAATCAGGCTCAAACACATCAAGAAACAGAGTGGGGGAGAGGGAGAAGAGAGGAAGCAGGGAAAGGATGGCACAGAGTGAGGGGGTTTCCAAATGCAGTGCCTTTTCCCTCCTTGGCTGATTCCAACTGGGGGCTCTGGCTGTGTGCTGGGAGTCTCACCTGGGAGGTACATGCAGGCTCTGCCCGCTCCTTCAGTGTGTACGGGCAGGAGGCACTCGGCGTTCAGGATCTGCTGGGCAAGGAGCTGAAATCTGAGGCTGGAGACTTCCCCAGTGCCTCGGAGAGAGGCAGTGTTCACGTGCACTGTACAGCAGTGACCACAGCCAAAGGACCAGGGTGATCAGCTGCTCATCTGCCGCAGGCAGATGGCCCCAGGCAGTCAGGGGCAAGCAAGGGGAAGGACCCCCTTCATGCTGTATCTGCCTTCCTCACAGGTATTTAAACGGGCGAGTAGCAGGGTGGGAGTATGGCAAGGGAATTTGCTTGGCTATGAAGCTTTCCTTCCAGAAGATCCATGGCGGAGAAGCAAACGCTTCTTGAACCAGGTAACTGGATTGAGGATGGGTGATTAATAACCTCTTTTCACAACCTACAGTTTCAATGTGGGAATTACACTTCAGAGGTATATGGAGAGGCTTTGTTCCTACTTTCTTCTCCTATTACTTATCTCTTACATGCACACACACTCCTCTCTGCTGTCTCTAGCCTCTTAATGGAAGCTTTTTGAACTAGTAGTTAAAGGTGATAGGTATCTCAGAAGCATCAGACACAAGCCAACTGGATGCAGGAGCCGAGCTTGGGGGGTGACCTAGAGGAACCCATCTACCTGCCTTCTACAGCTATTTGCTCAGCACTGCCTCCCAAAGCATCCCAAACCTTGCTCCAGCAAGGCTTGGCCTCGAGAAGAAACTCAGGGGGAATCCTTTGCCATGCCTATCTATGCACCTCGTGTGGACACTGCAGTCCTCCTTTCTGGACAGATTATGTCCATCAGTTCTGTGTTAATGGCGAGCCAGTGCAACAGTACAGAGGGCAATGTAAGGGAAGGTGGGAGAAAAGGTTTGGGGGAATCCCAGGAGGTATAATGAAATTGCCTTTCACATGGTCACCCCTATACAAGCATGAACAACCTGATCCTTTGAGATACTGGTCAATCAGTGGTCATGATGATGATGTGGCTTGAGGATTACCTCTCTGGAGTGGTATTCCTGATTTCAAGAGGAGAGAGACATGAATGATGAAAATAAGAGCCTGGTAGACATCCCAGATGACAAAAGACTGGGAAGATGTCACTGGCCTCCTGCTGGGATGGCTTTGCTGGTCGTGAAGTGTGTAAAAAAGGGTGCCCCATGACTAAAGCTAGCAGAAGGCCCCGTATGTAAATCAGCCTGACGAAACTGAGGGTGACCAGCCCAGCTTCCCTCACTTAATGGTGGAAGATTTTGCTTCCACAGTGCAAAGGGTGTTTTTCTGCTGAGCTACATAGACACGCTTGCACCAAGCTTCTTGCAGCATTAGTCTGTGAGAGGACACAGGAGGAGGCCTGATTGATAAAGGTTTGCAAAAACAAGCAGTCATACAGAGAAAGTAGATTAAGAGCTTTTGTTCTTCTTGTACCACACCAGAACAACGGGATGTATCCTGCCCATGAAATGAATAGGCAGCAAATTCACAGCTGAGAGAAACAAATGCTTTTCCACCCAAACCTGATCACCCTGCCGTACACAGCACTGCTGGGATCCACCGAGGCCATGCCAGGTGAAACACAAACACCCACAGTTATGCCGGTCGATGCTGAGGGAAGGGATCCTGATCCTCGTGCTTCGCAGCGTGACCCAGTCTCTGGCTCCTCTTCCCATCCCACCTCCCTCAGAGGCAGGCAGCACTCTCCTGTCCATCTGCAACAGGAGTCATACCTGCCGGCCAAAGCCTCTGGTGCTCTTCACCGTTGAGCGAGGGGCACTGGGCTAGGTTGGCATCAGGCTGGATCCAGATGGCGAATTCCATGTTCCTGTGCAAATAAGAGGGAGATACACGTGCAAGTGTGTGTGAGGAGGGTACCTGGGCATTTAATGGGCATCCATACACGAGCGAGCACGCTGCCTGGGAGGAAGGCAGGGCAGGCGCAAAGGGCGACGCACAGGGCAGCTGTTCCTGTGAGGTAGGTTTTGGTGTTCTCATTTGTTCTTTTTTTCTCTTGTTCCCTAGGGAATTTTAAAGGTCTGTGTAAGCAAATCGATCACTTCCCTGAGGATGCAGATTATGAAGCCGATACAGCAGAATATTTCCTCCGTAAGTCTTCAGGCTCTTCTCCTTGCAACGGCTCGTTGGCGCTAGCGTCGGGTGCCTTTTGCTTTCTGAAGGTAGGGTGGTGGCGATGCTGGGACCTGTGGAGGTGACCCCAGAGCCTCACCACCCCCCAAAAATGTCTCTACTCTCACCTCCCTGGGGCTCTGCCCATGAGACAGTGGAAGTTTCAAACTCATAGTAACAACCAGTGGCATTTTTTATCAAAGGCAATTAATTACGATATAAATCCACAGTCTTCATTCAAGTCCATTGGAGAGCTGCTGAGTGGGCATAAGGTCAGGACCAGGCTAGCTGGGGCAGTGTGAGTGTGTGTGTGTCCTCCTAAAGCAGAGGAAGTTTATATTTCCTTACCTGATATGCCAGTTGCATCAGATTTAAGAAATTAGCTGGATTGTGTCCGAGGAGCACCTATTTCCATCTTCACCTTTCCGCAAACACCACCTGCCTACAGAGGCTGCAAATTTGATCTTTGCTGCTTTTAGCAATTTTAATGATGGGAATGGGAAGCAGGAATAAGGACAGATGTACCCCTTTGAAGAAAAGACCTGGTGCTCACCCAGGGCCCCTGGGAGAGGTGCGGTATCCCAGGCATACTGCGTCTTCTTTAGGAAACCTAAGCTGAGCTCCAAGTCCAGCCTGGGACATGCGGGCAAAGCTCACACCGCTTTGCGCATGGGGACAGGGAAGGCAGCCTGGCGAGAAGGGCAGATCCACATCACGTGTTGCCCTCCCTGATCACAAGTCAGCATTTCCACCTGCCCCAGAAGCAGGAGATTGCTCTTCCTGTAGTGCAGCTGAACAGGGATCACTCCTCCTCTTAGGTCCCTACCTTGCTATCCTGCGCTCCCTCCACAAGCCCAATGCCTTTTGACATCACAAGGAGAGATCTTCTCCCTTTAGAAATCTGAGATGGGAGATTTTGACCTCCCAAGGTTAAGCATCAGAGGGCCCCAAAGGCTGGGAGTCTTTCAGAATAGCTCGTGTCATCTGGGCGTGCTCCAAGCCAGATGTGGAGACCCAGCCCTGCGGCAGGGATGAGAGAGATAATTTAGGCTCTGTGCGGCTCATTTGTATGTGAAAAGAGGCGGATCTTATGCTGCTTCCTCTTGGTTTCTCAAACAGTTCTTCATCCACTGTAAATTGTAAATAACCCAGGGAGGTTGCCTCTTTCAGATGCCTTTCTGCAGCATTGGTTTCTTAATCACTGCATGGCCCCTGAACAGCAGAGCTGAAGACTGGGGTTTGATCTGGTTTGGCACAGTGACTGTGCAGGCTGCCTCTGAGGGCAAACCAGCTCTTGCAGAGTTATTTAGGAGCAAGGAAGCTGCTTGCAGCATCAACTGCACTTCAGAAAGAAGAGTTGGGGGAAGGGGGCAAACATCTCAAGAAGGATGGGTCTGTTCCCTCAGAGGGAACAAGATCTGAAGACAAAAACTGGCCCAATGTCAGAACCTGACGGTGTCCCCAGGGTAGAACCCTTTTTAAGAAAGAACTAGGTTCAAAGAGGGATTTGGCAAGTCAGTAAAGGACTACTTGGGTCATTCCTGAGGGAAGTGGGATTTCTGCTGGATTAGACCTGACTGGAGATGGATCCCACTGAACAGCTTCTTCCCAGGACTTTTGCCAAACCAGCGTCCTGGGCGCTGTGCATGGGCAATGCCTGGCAGTACTGGCAAGATCAGCGAGGAAGTTGTTTACTAGTATCAGACTAGGCAATTCCCTCATTCAGGGGACCAGGACGATTGTGGGGCAGTGCCCATGGCCTGGCTAGAAGGGCTTAGACTTCATTTCTGCCAGCTGTCAGAACCATAAGGTGTCTTAGGCTTTTTGAAATCAAACGCCTATTGTCAGAAAGGAAGCAGAAGCATCCCTGCATTTCTTTGCTAGCAAACACTCGACTTAGAGAGCAGACATGATATGAGGGAGCATCCAAACACCATCATGAGTCCCCTTCTCTTTAGACCAAAGGGTCTGGACCCAGGAAGACTGGGTGAGATTCTGCCCCTCTCTTGCTGGCATGGTCCTCCTGAGGGGCAGAAAGCAGGGGCTGAGCGAGGCTGCTGTCCTCCCCCATCACATAACGCCCGCAGCTCCCTGTGTCAGCCAGCAACTTCGTGTTCTCCCAACAGACGTGAATTTCAGCATTAAGACCCAGATAAAACTGATGTGGTCAGGGCCAGGCTGTGGGACTGACCAAGCATCCCTCTAGAAACCCTCTGAACAGCGGATATCTGCTTGATGTTTGCTTACTGCCATTTAAGCTTTGCATTGTCAAATCCCGCCTTGCTTTCCAGAAGCTATGAAGATGGTTATTAGCACTATCCTGTTCCCTGAAACACAGCCAGGCAGAACTGGAAAGCAAGCAAGAGAGGTTTCTCCCTGCCTTTTGCATTCCCCATGTGGGCTAGGGCCCCCCTCAAAGAGCCAATTGCTTGTGCCTGGTAGGATCCTGATGCCAACAGGGTCTTTGAAGCATGGTCTCTGCTCGCTTAGGAAAAAGTCCTGCGCTTGTTTCGGTAGGGTTCATTCTTGCAGGCAAGGTGGGATTAGCTTTCATTTCCCCTTCCAGATCTTTGCTCCACCAGCAGAATTGCACCCGCCTGTCTGATACCTTTCTTTATCAAGCAAGGCTTCATTTCACACTTTAACAGCTTATTTTCTCTTGGGAAGGGAGGAGGGAAGGGCTTCCGAGTTAAAAAATATGAATATTGGCAACACAAACTCAGGCAGACCGTTGGTACCCACAGAACAGCCCACGAGCAGTATGTGCGTGTGTGCATGTGTACGCGGGTGTGTGTATACACAGTCCTGGCCTTTCACTGTGTGAAAACGAGACAGTCCCACCAGAAGCTTTGGGGTATATTTTGTATGTGCGTATGAGCATATACGTGCATCTATGCCATTGCCCTCTGCTGGCTGAGCTCTTCCCATATTGACCGATGGAGAGCGTGCGTGTGTGGGAGCTGGCACATCCAAAGCCATCACTGCCCTCTGGAAGGAGCCCAGTCATTTAATCACTAGGATAAGTCCAGCGTTTCAGCACACAGGGCTGGGATTTTCGTTTCTCAGTGCTCACTGCAAGCGCGGAGCAGTGCACGGCACCAGGAGCTCCTTCCCAGCCGTAAAAAATCTGTCCTTGAGATGCTCGTGCCCTTTTGGGAGGATTTGAGACTGAGCAGCTCCGCGGGAAGCATTTGGGTTGCTGCTCTTTGAAGAGCAGGCTCAAACAGCAGCATCCTGCAGGAGGAGAAGCCGGATGGTGCCAGGGCTCCCCCTCCAGCCCACAGCCCCCCCTAAACTGGAGGAAAAGACAGCGTGAGGGGGGACAGGCAGCACAGGCAGGCTTCCAGCTCAGCTACTGACCCCACAGCCCCCTCTGCCTCCCCGTGCCAGGCCACCGGCTTCATGGCAGCGTCAGCAGCCAGGGTGTGGGAGAGCTGCTTGGGACCGCTTTCTTTTTCTGACGCACTTTGTTTCTCTCTCCCCTCCGTCCCCCGCCGCCTTTATCCCTCCTTGAATTACTTCCCTCCTGCACATTGCCCTCCGTCTCTCCTCTTTGCCCCCACCCACAAAATGTGCTCACGTCCCCCCATCCCCTCGCCCCGGCGCTGTTTCTGTGCCCCTTTTTCCTCTCTCTCACACCTGCGCTGTTCTTTCTGCCCTTCTCCCTCTCTCCTCCACAGGGGCTGTTAGAGCCTCTAGTATTTTCCCGATCCTGAGTGTGATTCTGCTTTTCATGGGTGGACTCTGCATTGCAGCCAGCGAGTTCTACAAAACCCGACACAACATCATCCTTAGTGCCGGCATCTTCTTCGTGTCTGCAGGTAAAGGGATGCACAGAGCCTGCTGGGCTCTGAGGGGTGGAGGGGCTGCCCAGCCAGGGCATCCTGCAGGGGCACGGTTGCCTAGGTGGGAGTGCCTGTGTCTCCCAGACCCAATGAGCCTTATTCAGGGTGAAAGCAGCCTCCCAAGGATGCCTCTCTGCCCCACCTGCTCGCCTTGCAGAGACAGGCAGCAGCGCCCTGCAGGCAGGGGCTTTCCTGCTGCCTGGGAGCTGCTGGAGGGAGAGGATTTCCCTACGTCTGGCATCTCTCAGGCACCAGCTGGGAGTGTGGCAGGCACACAAGGAGGGTCTTGCTTGGGTTTCCCAAGGAAAGCTGCCCACCGGGAGGGGATGGGTGGCTGAGGGCCCTCCCATCCCTGCCTCCAGGGGGCAGAGGCTTAACCTCACGCACCCGTCGCCACACTCAGCCTTCCTGACATCTCCCTCTCTCTCCCCTGCTGGCCGGCTGGTAGGTCTGAGTAATATAATTGGCATCATCGTATACATATCAGCCAACGCTGGAGACCCCTCCAAGAGCGACTCCAAGAAGAACAGCTACTCCTATGGCTGGTCCTTCTACTTCGGGGCCCTGTCCTTCATTATAGCCGAGATGGTGGGAGTGCTGGCCGTCCACATGTTCATAGACCGGCACAAACAGCTGCGTGCCAACGCTCGTGCCACGGACTACCTCCAGTCCTCCGCCATCACCCGCATCCCCAGCTACCGGTACCGCTATCAGAGACGCAGCCGCTCCAGCTCCCGCTCCACTGAGCCTTCACACTCCAGGGATGCCTCTCCTGTCGGGATCAAAGGGTTCAACACCCTCCCATCAACAGAGATCTCGATGTACACCCTGACCAGGGACCCACTGAAGGCAACCACCACCCCTACCGCCACCTACAACTCCGACAGGGATAACAGTTTCCTCCAGGTTCACAACTGTATCCAGAAAGAGAACAAGGACTCTATCCACACCAACACAGCCAACCGCCGGACCACCCCGGTATGAAGCCGTCGCCA